GATTTTTTTAAACATATAAAACAGTCATTTTAACATATATTTTTTTTTACATATATTTGTAAATGCATTCCAAAAATGTTTATTTTTTATTTTTAAAGACATACAGTATTTGAAATGTATTTTTAAAAATATTTTTCATCTATTTTGTAATAAAAACACATTTCAACATGCAGTATATATATGGGATGAATTATATATATGGGATGACTAATATATATATTTGGGATGAATATTTTAAAAATATATTTCAAATATATTTTTCTTTCATATGGGCTGTAACCCATTACAGAGCATTGTTGTGCATTGCATCAGAAAAATGAATTTCCCCTTTTTGATCTCTTGTATGTATATTAGCGCATAGCAACAGATCTTATAGGTGTGAATGGGCCATAAAGGTGACTTAACTCTTTTGGTATAAATGATTGGAAAGCAACCACCGGCACAAAGAAGGGATTTCTAAGAGAACATAATTAAATAGAACAAATTTGAATCAATGGTTTGCCTCTTGGTTATTTAAAACATCACATAGGTACATACGATGGAACATTGTTCATTGTTATTGCTCATTTTACTTATGTTTTTTTCCTTTGTAAAACTATTCAATAAAAACCATTGAAAAGTAAAACATCACATAGACTGGGTATTGCTGTCTTGTTCTGGTTAATAAGTGATGGTTTGCTGCACAGCATGTAGCATGAGGTGTAATCTAACTACCAATGAGGCAACGAGATGTTGTACAGATCTATACATTATCCCCATGGTCAATATTAGCTTCAGCACAGGAGTTTCAGTCCGTGACTAGGATACTGCTGGGACACTCACATGCTGACAATTAATCAATTTTCAACTAACATGTTACACACATTTGCATCATCTTCCTTTAGCTAATGCTTTGCAATTAATCTTCATTAAATGGATTTTTATTATAGCAGACCCTCCTTGGACCTTCAGACACTTTTGAGAGGTGCAGGTGTTGTCACACTGCCACATGGGAGAGCTGGACACTCCATATCCCTCATGATTGTGCTCCAGGCCATTGAAGCAGCATATTCTCATAGGAATTTAAGCACTCAGCCCATGGTGATGTCACCCATGCCACCAACAGAAGCTGATGAAAGTATTTTTTTAAATGTAAACTTAATATTTGATTGTTTTTTAAAGCAATTTGGCTTTGGGATGTGGGGCTGTGGATAAAGTTGACTTTACATGTTCATTTAGATTTTAACAAAAGTTATTTATAACAATGGAGAACCTGCTGTTCCAGGGACCTTTTAGTGCTACCGACCTGTCTGTAGTCCTGGACACTTTCTCCTGTAAATCACTGCTGAAGGGGGCTTAGAGTTTAACCTGGCTGTTCTTCCCATTTAGTAGCAATCACGTAGGCGGTGGAATGTTTTCTGTTAGCAATTGAGACAGGCTGCCCATGCTGGGAAGGGGTTAAACCTGTCTTTGCAGTTTCCCAGTCTTTTCTGGGCTCTGCCCTCTCCCCTTTGATGTAAGTAAAGAGGGGGAGGGCTCTCCTCACAGATTGGTTTGAAAGAAGCTATAGAAGATATAATCTCTAGCTATTACACGAGAGCCTCTGTTCCCTAGTCAAGAGCAAGATGCTGCGGAGTAATGTAGGGGGACTGCTGTGCCCTGTAGTCTGCTGGAAGATACCGGAGATCCAGAGAACTGCCAAGCCATGGGAAATGCCAGAGATGGACTAACGCCTTGAGAGGTATGCCTGAGCCACCTAAGTGAGTTAGTTAGGGAATTTTATGTTATTCTGTTAATTTTGGACTGTGTTGCAAAGTCATTAATCAAAGTTGCATCAACTCGTCTGAAGTTATTCTAAAGGATGCATGATGGCTCCTGGTGTATGAAAGAACAGGGTCAGTAATGCACACATGGGGCATGAGGCAAGGCCACTACAAGAAGGGTTAACTTAGCAAGACAAGTGGAGGAGGAATTAAGTTGTTATGGGTAACCAAGTAATGGTGCAAAGTGTACAGTAGCCTGTTGTGAAGCGTGATATCCAGCAAGGCAGAAGGTCCTCCAGTAGCAAGAGGTTCGGTGATCTGGCTCCCTCCGTAGTGGTCAGTTTGCCAGAGCAACCAGGACTGAACACACATTATGTAGACCTAGCCATATGGTATGAGAGTGCTGAAGGAGTTGAGTGAGGGCACTAGGCTTGGGCTGGATGTTCGAGTCGAACATAAGTTTGAGTCAAACACCGGGTGTTCGTGTGTTCGGCAAGCACACCAACTGTAAGGGCATTCAACATAACCCTCCGAGCACCTGATGCTGCCCCACCTTGTGAATGAGTAAATGGTACTTGTACCCCTACCCATTCACTAAAGGATTCAATTTGGAAAAAATAAACAGGCCAGACTTTTTAAAAATTTCTTTATTGAACAAAAAAACAAAACAGTGGTGGTTCCATCGTTGTAATCCATCGTCAATCATGGCGTCCAGCGTTGCCACAACGCCGCCGTCTTGGCAAAATAAAAAAGAAACCCGATGCCCGCTGACCCGTCTGCACCCGCCGAGCACTCGCTGCAATCTGACATTTGCAGGTCAAATGTAAACAATTGGGTGGAGTTAGCAGGGATGTCACCACTAGCTCCACCCAATTGCTTGCGTGTGACTGACAACTGTCAGAGGGCCTGGTAAGGCTAGGGCGGGTGTCGGCAACCCGCGGCTCCGGAGCCGCATGCGGCTCTTTTTCACCTTTCCTGCGGCTCCGGAGCACACTGCCCACCAGGTGACAGGCAATAGGGTCGGCAAGCCGCGGCTCTTTTAATGCAGATCTTCTGTGTGCCGGGCGCCCGCTGGCAAACATTGGCTGTCAGGATGTAGGCGGGGCAGCCCGGATGTAGGCGGGGCAGCGTGACGAACTCCTCTCCTCTCACAGTCTGCCCTGAAGACCAGAACGGCGCGGGAACCCAGCGAGAGGAACGCGCGGAGCAAAGGTAAGTGAATTCACACAATATGGGGAATGAATTACTATGGGGGATGAATTACTATAGGGGGGATGAATTACTATAGGGGGGATGAATTACTATGGGGGATGAATTACTATATGAGGGATGAATTACTATATGGGGGATGAATTACTATATGGGGGATGAATTACTATATGGGGGATGAATTACTATGGGGGATGAATTACTATGGGGGATGAATTACTATATGGGGGATGAATTACTATATGGGGGATGTATTTTCAGTTTTAAAAATGTTTCTCTCAAAATAAATTTCAATCGTGGTTTTGGCGAGATTTGGCTCAGTCGAAAAAAAAAGGTTGCCCACCACTGACCTAAGGCTATGATTGTGATTATGACGATACACTGTGGCCCTAATTAACCCTTTGCTTACTGGGCCCTTAAACCCCCTTCATGACCAGAGCGTTTTTTGCAATATATGCAGTGTCGGATTTGTTTTAAATGTTGCAATGGTTTTGCGGCTCCCAGTCTTTTTTTCCCTCTCGGAAACGGGTCCAAGTGGCTCTTTATGTCTTAAAGGTTGCAGACCCCTGGGCTAGGGGAACCCCACGCAAAAATATTTTTACTGTGGGGTCCCTCCTAATCTAAAGGGTCTGGTATAAATAAGGAAGGGGGGGACCCCACGCTGTTTTGTTCTTTTTTTAGTAAGAATGTCATTTTAAAAAATAAAATGTCAGTCCTGCTTCATCAGGTTCTATACATTGTACAGATGTGCAACTTTGCAGGTATTTTGAGGGGACTCCCTAGGCCTAATATTTAAAAAAAAAAATAAAAAAAAATATATATATATATATATTTTTTTTTTTAACTTTAAGAAATGAAAAATGGCTGTCCCTGTCCCTTTAAAAATGGTACGTTTAGAAATATTTTTTTCATTGATCCTTGTCCCTGAGGGCAGTACCCGAGTCCCCACACCCCTTTTATGGCCAATAACTTGCATATAAGCTTCAAAATGGGCACTTTTGAATTTACTACTTTGAGTCCCATAGACTTGCATTGAGTTTTGAAGCTCACAGCCGAACTTTCATTAGGTTCGAATGTTCGACCGTAAACCGAACAGAGGAGTGTTCGGCCCATCACTAGAGGGCACACATGAGGTCCGCTCTAGTGCTTGGTGGGTCCCCATTCTGTCACTGGGAGTGAGGTGGCAGAAGTACGCAGGACAGGTGGAGAAGGCATAGGCTTAACAGTGTCCTTCCTGAATGTGACATGTTATGAGAAAGGTGTGTAGTAACACGGGATGGAAGGTTTTACAGAGGAGCTCTGTGTTTCACACTACTGCATACAGTGCATGGCTCATCTCTAAGCCAGGAAATCACCATAATGTTTGACCTGGGCATTGGTTAGCGCGTGCATGGTGAAAGGTACCCCAGTGCAGGGCAAGTAGCCAAGTGTCTAGGCCTACAGACATGTGGACAATACTGAAGAGCATCATCAGCAACATTTTCTCCAGAAAGATTGTGTGATCTTTCATGCACTTTATTCATCAATCCCAGCATGACCATTATGATATCTATGGTAATATTTGATTTGGTCTGGTTTAATAAGACTGAATGCATATCAGAAGGAATTTAACCGCTAGCTTACCGGGCACTTATACCCCTTCCTGCCCAGGCCAATTTCCAGCTTTCAGCTCTGTCGCACTTTGAATGACAATTGCGTGGTCATACAACACTGTACCCATATGAAATTTTTTATCATTTTTTTGTGACAGATATAGCTTTCTTTTGGTGGTATTTAATCACCTCTGGGTTTTTTATTTTTTCTTAAACAAACCAAAAACTACTGAAAATTTTGGAAAAAAAATGTTTTTTCTTAGTTTTTGTTATAAAATTTTGTAAATAAGTGATTTTTCTCCTTCACTGATATACACTAATGAGGCTGCAGTGGTGGGCACTGATAGGCTGCACTGATGGACACTGATAGGTGGCACTGGTAGGTGGCACTGATGGGCATTGACAGGCATCACTGATGGGCACTGAAAGGCAGCACTGATACATGGCACTGATATATGGCACTGATAGGCGGCACTGACTGGCACTGATAGGCGGCACTGACTGGCACTGTTAGGAGGCACTGACACGGCACTGATAGGCGGCACTGATGCACACTGATAGGTGGCACTGATGCGCACTGATAGGTGGCACTGACTGGCACTGATAGGTGGCACTGATTGGCAGCACTGATAGGTGGCACTGATTGGCTTTGATAGGTGGCACTGACTGGCACTGATGGGTGACACTGAAAGGCAGCTCAGATGGGCACTGCTATGTGGCATTGATGTGCACTGGTAGGCACAGATATGTGGCATTGATGTGGCACTGATGGGCACGGGCACGAGGCACTGATGAGCACTGACACAAGGCACTGATGGACACTGACAGGTGGCACTGCTGGGGCTACAATGATCATCAGGGCACACTGATCATCAGTGCCCTGATGATCAGTGTACATGTCCCATCCGCAGAAAGCCGATTACCGGCTCTCCTCTCCTCTCGAGCTGTCAGCGTGACAGCTCGAGAGGAGAGAAAAATGCCGATAACCAGCATTTCCCTGTTTACATATGATCAGCTGTGATTGGACACAGCTGATCACATGACCGAGCCGACATCTTCGTCTCTTTCCGTGATCGGTGATCCCTGTGCCGCGCATGCACGGTGAGAATGGGAGAACGTCATATAACGTCCTCCCAGAATAAGAGAACCACCTTGCGCCGGTCATTGGACTATATGGCGGGCGGGAGGTGGTTAAGGAAAAAAAATAATTGCTCCTCAAAAGGTTTGATTCTATTTTAAGACACCAAGCTATCTATGTACCTTTTGGAAATTCTCTTCTGAGAGAATACTGCCACTTACATAAACCAGCCAGATAGAGGAACGTTTGGGGTCTGGAGTGGTACATCAGGAGAGGCTGGCTAGCTCTCCAGAAGAGGATATTTTGCTGTACAGACTTGTAAATAGTTTGAGGAAGTTTCTCTACAGTTCCAGTTCCACTGGGCATCCTGTACACCCCTTACCCCATCCAAGTTGTATTATCCCCTAATAAAACAACAAAACAAGCTCAAAGACTGGTCACTATCTCCTGGATGCAAGTCTGAATAGAAAATATGTGTTGCCTGGCTGTGCAGGACTATAGGGGGACCTAAATCTATTCTAGTACTACAGTGATAACTTTCTGACATGTGACCTGCACTGCCATTATAAAGAAAGTAATTATCTGTATAGTGTGATTAATTTCTGTTTGTCACAATCAACTCAAAATGAGCAAGTGAGCACATGTGTTTTCTGTTCTCCTCTTGATACAGATACTGTGGGCTGCATCTTTGTCATAAACCACACTCAGATCTCTGAAAATCCTGTAACACATACTTATCCCTGTGTGCTGGGATAACTGACTCCTGTGCGTGGTGAAATGTGATGTCACTTCGTACCAGCCAATGAAAATGGACAAAGACTGGCACCCAATAGAAGATACCAGTGCTGTTTAAGGAAAGGTAAGCTTAGCTGTTTAACTACAGACTAATACGTGAGATTAAATCTCCCCAGTAAGAGACACAGGCAGAAATAAAAACTTGACAGAGGTTTACACCCTTCTCCACTAAATCCATAATTTACTGGGACCTATTCAGAACTAGGGTGCAAGTTCTGGGTGGATAGACCCTATTGGCAGTATAAACGTATGATGTGGTGCATAACTGAATAAAGTATATAAAGCCATTAAGTTTAAATATATTCCAGCCGTAGTGCAGGGACATAATATATAAATATTATATGAAATACCTCAAATGATGGATTTTTTCAGTAGTCACATGGCTGCTAAAACTCACCAAAAGCCCACAGAAAGAAAAAAGATATCAGAATCAACAGATATTCATACTTCTCAAATGACAACAAAAAACATTTTCAATGGTTTAGATCACTTCAACATTTTAGGGATAAATACACTTTAACTAGCCCAAACCAGAAAAAAAACTGTTGTTACATATATGCCTAGGCATGTGTAGGCTTTTTATCTCAATAAATATCAAGGCCTGAACAGAAATGAAATGCACACTGACATGCAAAGCAGGATGCCACTGCTATATTTGCATTGTATTTCAATGAGATGCCCGATGCTGACAGTAATTCTTCCCTTCTATCACACTTAAGAGTGACTGTGGATGTGCTCCACTGCTCCCATGGATCTAATCAGCTCCAGCACTGTCCATAACTTCATTGCAAAATGGAAACCATTACAATAAAAAACAATAAAAATACTTGTTATTTTGCATAATTGTCCAAATAACCTTCACAGAGATATAAAGTGACAGCATATAGTGATGATTTTGATTATGCACCCTATAGGCCACTCTAACCGTATATGCTCTGCCCATATGGAAGAAAAATATATTTGAAATATATTTCAAAAATATTCTCCCCAAATATATTCACATATATTTGAAATACTACAATTTTGGCAATATTCAATATATAAAAAAAAGTATACATATATATATATATATATATATACACTGGATGTTGAAATGCGTTTTTTATATATTACATAATATATGAAAAATATTTTTAAAAATATATATTTTTTCAATATATTCTTCAGATTTTTTTTAACATATAAAAAAGTCATTTTAAGATATATTTTTGCATATATTTGTAAATGTATTCCAAAAATGTAGATTTGTAATTTTAAAGACATACAGTATGTTTGAAAATGTATTTTTAAAAGTATTTTTCATATATTTTGTAATAAATACATGTTTCAACATACAGTGTATATATATTATATTTCTTTAAATATATTTTGAAATATATTGAATATGGCCAAAATTGTAGTATTTCAAATATATGTCAATATATTTGGGAAGAATATTTTTAAAATATATTTCAAATATATTTTTCTTCCATATGGGTGTGTCCACAAATATCTCTGAATTTCTCTTTCTTTCTATAAACTGAGAGAAAAGCAGTATATACCTTATGTGTGCATAGTTTCAATGGAGTGAACTTTCTCATGACATGGGTTTTGTACTGTATATAACATGGTGTCACCTGGACCAACTAAAATCCACCCACCTATGGCTTCCAAATTACTGACATCACACTAAGGCTGGATATTCTGGCCACAGCAGCCATTTATTAACCCCTTTTCACTGTCTCCTGGCAGCCCATGAGGAGGATGTTGGTGCTGGGCGGAGATGTCCCAATCACATGAGCACCATGATTGGCTGTCCTGTTGAATCCTGATCACAAGCGGTGACTGGGAGACAGTGCGCTGGGAGTGTGTGGTGTGTTCTCTCAACACAGGACCTCAGAGCCTTGTTGACACATACACTATATTGCCAAAACGTTTGGGACACCCCCTCCAAATCATTGGGTTCAGGTGTTCCAATCACCTCCATGGCCACAGGTTATACAAATCAAGCACCTAGGCATGCAGACTGCTTCTACAAACATTTGTGAAAGAATGGGTTGCTCTCAGGAGCTCAGTGAATTCCAGCGTGGTACCGTGATAGATTGCCACCTGTGCAATAAGTCCATCCATGAAATTTCATTGCTACTAAATATTCCAACTGCTAATGCCGTAAATCTAAAACTTTCTCTCTAACTCAGGCCCTACTACAGCATCTCCTTATCTTCCTCAACCAAACAGATATGTCTAACTTTCCTTCTCCTAGGTAACTTAAAGTGACACTAATTGCTCTCTATTGCTTTCAGTCTCCTCAAAATCTCCAAATCCGTGTTATTTTTTTTATGCTGCAATGATCTATCTTCCTCTTAAGGGGTGGCTAAGTTTGTTCTCCATTGTCCCACTGTAAGTAGAAGCATAGCCACCCACCACCCTCTCCTTACTCACTCCCTAGATGGATTTGAATCCATTGTTTTTACTCTATGATGCCCCCTCCTGGGGTGATGCTAGAGATACCCATATCCCAAAGACAGACCCTGCACAACATGGAATGTTCCCAGTGCACAAGGATTTATTTATTTATTAGTGCTGTCAGTTTACGCAGAGTTTTACATATATATTGTACATTCACATCAGTTCCTAACCCTCAAGGAGCGTACAATCTAAAGTCCCTAACTTACATTCATACATACACAGACTAGGGGCAATTTAGACAGGATCCAATTAACCTACCAGCATGTCTTTGGAGTGTGGGAGGAAACTGGAGTACCCGGAGGAAACCCACTCAGGCACAGGGAGAACATGGAAACTCCAGGCAGGTGGTGCTGTGGCTGGGATCTGAATCAACAACCCTAATACTGCCAGGCAGAAGTGCTAACCATTTAGCCACTGTGCTGCCCGTAGGATGAATAGTAACCTTCATTCACAAGGATATGAAACTTCATTTTAGTCCTGTGACTGCCATTTGCAAGTCTTATTGGACCCATCTTTCCACTTTCTCTTGCATGGGCAAGGTCACAGTGTTACATTTTTATCAGCTTCCTACATTTACTTCTTGTAGCCCAAAATGGCTAATATAGCAGTAAGCCTCATTTGCCTTCATAGAAAATGTAGCACAATGCAGGATGTCTCAAGTTTTTCACAGCTATGGGTAATTTTATTTTATTTCTCATTTATACAGTAAATGTGAAAGGGAGCAGGAGATTGTTTGTTTAGTTAAAAGTAACTCACATTTTAAATTTACCAGTATTTTAGCATAGTACAAAAATTGCAGGTAATATCAAAAATAAAAACTGGCCATGAAAAAAGATTTTATAACATATACAAAATTTTCTCTTTATTTTTTGTAAACCTGTTCAGGAAATAGCTGTAGAAAAGTAGATGGGTTGATAAGGTTTGTCTCTGACTTTGCTGCGATACTGTATATCATTATTTATGGGGAATCTTTATGGATGATGTTGCCGAAGACAGATAACTTTTTTTGTCTGTTTTCTGTTTGTTTTGCATAGAAACGGAATAGATGATAGATAACATGTTTACGAAACACCTACTGTCAGCAAGCTGGTCTTTCATGAAGAAGGATAGACCAATGCCTAGGTGGGCACATAGTCATTTTCCTTGTCTAATGTGTTTCAGAAACATATCATTTAGGGCTCTTTAATGTTGGGTTTCAAGCTGTTAAGCGTCAGGATAGAGGCTAGGCAAGCGACTTCTCATCTTTGGCAAGTCGGCCCCAACAGCTGCTCAGCATCTACTTCAAGATGGGCTTTGAGGAAGAGACGATGAAACTCATTAATATTTTCTGTCAAGTTAATCTGAAACAGTCTGTCCGCTCTTGTCAGCCTTCCCTGCTATTGCTCTTCCTGGCCTAAACCCTGTAATGAAAAAATAAAGCTTTTTGTCACAGCCCTCTCAGCCAGCATATA